CAGGCAGCTAGGCAAGTGTGGTGTAAGCAAGATGCCTGAGAACAGGCATTTCTTCTGAAGGTGTGATTCTGCAAACCTAACACGGACCAAGCTGCAGAATCTGCATCATTAAAACCATCCCTGTCAGCAGCTGTCTGCATAAAATTACAGCTTTAGAGGAAATCTTGCGTTCTTGCTTGCAGGCATGTTGTGACGTCTTTGTGAGGCAAAGCGGCATGTGGGAGTCGGACAGTTGGAAGGGCTTCTTGCGGCTCGGAGGTGTGGCTTCCTAGCGAGGCTTTGAGACTCGGCTCAGCTGAATGAGTAATTGCTTTAAACACGTTTCCTGATTTAGTGCTAGATCAAACTGCATCTGGCACTTCTGTAACTGCATTTATCTGTAAAAATAGAAGGGCATAATTTTCTAGAAATGTTGAATGTGGGAGTGAAGTGAGCTAAACGTCCTTGGAATTGCAAGAATTTTGGGGGAAGTCAGTTCCTTTTGGAAGAATAGAAATTGATTTTGACAAATTTTGAAGACGACACAACGTTGTCACTATTTTGTGTCCTTTCACTGTCCAAGGAAAATGAAATCTTCCGTGTGGTGCTTCAGAGAGATTTACTGTCCCCTCCCACTTCTGCGTTAATGTCATGTTTTGAAACTGAAGGAGAGTTCAGGGACTGTCACAGGGGAAGGCGGGTGCTGCCTACTACCTCAGAGCATTTTAAACTCTCGGGAGATATGATCAAATGCCATAGTTAGTGAAGAGGTCTATTATTGTGTGAATTGAACGGCCACCAAACAGAACTCTTAAAATGTACATTCTTCATTTTATGCCCAGGTAGCTGAGGAAATAGACCTGGGGCAATAAGACTTTCTAAATCTGTTTCATACACACGGGCTTGACATAATAATTTAAAAAGTGATTCTTATTTATTCATTTATCTATTTGCTTATCTCTTATAAGATGCCTTCAGGTCCGTATTGGGAATCATAGTGTAAGAAAGCAAGAATAAGACAAAGGCTGTTGTGTTCAGGATTTAGGGGGGAAGTGGGATGACTTCACAAAGGTAAGCATTTGAAGGGGTATTCAACTGGTGGTGCCAGGGCGTAAAATAAAAGAGGATGGTGTTGGTTAAATAACAGGAGAGCTTCTGGACTAATAAGGTAGTTGAAACCATGCTTGTAGCAGTGTTTAGAACTAGACTGCCCAAGAGCAAACTTACCCTATACGGGTTTTGGCCTAGAGAAGCTCTGTTAGGTTTGTGCGTCTCTAAACTCTGTCAAGAAGTGTATCATCGTGCGAGCAGTTGGCTGGCTTCTTGCGTGGTTAATTGTACAAATGCATGGGATTTTGATAACTTATTGTCAAAACTGCTGATGTTTCCATTGCATGTGTTGATTAGCGGCCTGGATTTACCCTAGTTATTTTTCCTTTTGGACACTTTACTGCCTGTCTTTTGCATGAGACCATTTCCCGCTGTTTTAGGAACGTCTATGTTGAAGTAGAGAAGTAATGACCAGAAAGGTAATGGGGGCAAATACAGATATATAAACAAGGGATGGCTTATTGGGGAGAGCTGATGAGACGAAACGGTTGGGTACCCTGTAATTATGTTTTTTTTTCAGCTTACAGGAAGAAACTCCCTGTTTATGGAGGACAGGATAGCAGAGATTAAGGGATATCTAATGACTTTCCAACGTGTCATGCTTCCTCTGCTTCCTTGATCACAGATGATCTCTCTGAATATGCAACAGGCCTGCAATGGTGTGGTTTGTTACCTAGCAAGCTCATGGTCTGGGATGGAGTACCCTGGGTTTTCTCAAAATAGGCCGTGTTCTTGAGGGAGTTCCTTCACCATGCTTTCCTTAGACCTTGTTCTGGAACCTCGCCCCCTCTGTTGGCTTACCTCTTTCGATAAACAGCAAAACAAACCATCCATCGGTTTAGTTACAGAAAAACTTTCTTCCTGCTCTTGCTTTGTATGTTCCTATTCTGTCTCCTCCTCTTGAACAAAGACTTTGAGCTGAAGCTGTAGGTGCAGTGCTGCCCTTTTGACGGTAGCTTTTTGACTGCTGGCTTCTCTGCAGCTGGATCCTCGTGGTAAGTGCTCCCTCTTTCTTGATGGAGAAGCTTTTCTCATCGGGCACGCGGAGCTCCATCCATCCACCCAGCAGTCTGTATAGTGGTTTTGGATCTTGCCTTGGGCAGCAGCACCAGACCAGTTACAGCAGCTGAGTTTTCAGTCTTCGTCGCTGTAGCTAGGTAACAGCACTCTGAAAGAGAAGCTGATGTGTGTTAGGCCTTGAGAGAAGGTGAGGGAAGGAGAAAAGGGGGAAAGAGAATCCCTTATTTTTGTTTCTCATTTGTAATGAATGAATTAACTGAGCTTTGGAGTGATGTTAAGTTCTTGGAAACCTTTGGCTTGCTTTTTGTGCAAGTTTTGGGAGTCGGTTTCCCTAGTGGTTGCGTTAGGATGTAACGAGAGCAAAATCTCCTGAGCAAGTCGTGAAGCGATGTGCTGGTCTTGGTCTTAGGCCGTTTTTCTTCTGCTTAAACGGACGCACATGCAAAGATAATGATACCAGTCTCTCTTCCTCTTGTGAATATGACCTTGCGTCAGCCGCGTCTACGCAGACGTACGCCAAGGCAATTGCCAAATGTCTTAGGTTGTATTTTTACTCCCCCTGTTGGCATCTTGGCTGTAAAGTGTATGGGTTCCTGAAGAGAAAAACCTGCTTCTCTAGCAGTCAGTCATAAGAAAAAGCAGCTGTTAACCCCCACTTCTGAGTTAGTTGGTTTGAACCTGGCTTGGCAACAAATGCAGGTGGCTGTAGGGGAGCGGGAGAGGAAGGGAACTCCCTGAGCCGCAATAGCGTCTCGCTCCCACTGGAAGGCAGTTATTTTATTTAAGATTTGAATCTGGTGTCCTTGCTTAGGGTAGAACGCAAATGACTGAGTGCACGTTAGAAGTGTCCTGTAACAGAGTACATGGGAGCCACGCGATGTCCTGCTTCTGCCTCTTAGCAGCTGACTGCGCTATACACTGTTCGGTGCTGTTCTAGCCCCTAGTATCCCTCTGAGTTATACCCTGTCCTGTGCGTAGTCACCTGTACCGTCCCGGAGCTCTTTCTACTCCAGCAAAGCGCTGCTTCGTGAGGGTTAGAAAACAGAGGGATTACTCTTGAGGCCAAGGGAAAATGATGCCGCTTTGTGGCCAAGGAAAGTCCGAGTAGGACTCGGACTACTTAAATCTCTAACAGCCGGCTTTGTGGCATCTGGTCTATACCCAAGGATTCCCCTATAAAGAGGGAGATGTTACCTCCCCAGAAGAATTTGGGAAACTTGTTACTTATCTCCAATTTCGGTACGTTTTCTTCTTACCCTGCTCTTGTTCAGATTTAAATGCAGACTTAATTAACTGTAGGTAGTTTTATCATATGCTTGGCATGCGGTATGTTCTCTTGATCGCCTGTCGTGTTTTGGAAAGAACAATTTTTTTTGTGTTCTTTAGTGCGCATAGTGTTTCTGCTAGAGCAGTCAGCATTTAGGATGGTAGAAATGAGTGACTTTTCTCAATTTTCTGTTGTATCAGGCTGTAGAGTGGCGAGGGGGGGAAATGAAATGAAAAAGAAGTTTCTTGGCGTGCTTCTCTGTGACCACGTGGCTGCATTAGCATTGCTCCAAAGATCAGCTACAACCCTTGCATGTTTGATCATGCAGTTTAAACATTAGGTGAAGCCTGGAGAAGCCTTATCCTCCCCCTCTGCCTCAAATCAGTTTTTTGTACCACTTAAAAATCTATTCAGTCCTGTGGAGAGATGTTGAAAAGTTGGCAAAGGCTTGGTAACAAGAAAAAGAGAACTGAGCAATGCTTGTGTTGAAAGTTCTGTAGCCTGGGTTTCACCACTTTCGGTCCTTTCATTGGAATTGGGAGGTCGATTTTTCCTTTTCCGACAGAAATCTTTTCTCCACACATACACTGAAAATTCACACACGTTGGCTTGTCTGACGCTTTTCTTCTGCAAATATTTGAAGTTTTGTGCATCTCACGTTTCTGGCATGCTAAGGGTTAATGAGCTATCTGGGTTCACTGCCATCATTTATCATTCTGTGTGTTTTTCAAACAAATTTATAGGTAGGAAGATGGTCTTCAGCTAAAGAGTTTTCATATTTTTGAGCAACTGCATTTTAAAAACTAAGTTTCTGAATAGCACCAGATACTTGTGTAGCGTATTTCATGTTGCCATTTAACCCTCTCCCCCACTTCTTGATATGGCTATCTCGATCTAATACACTGCTGGTGATTTGAAGTAGCTAAGATACTGTTTTGAGTTAGGTAAGACTCCGGAGAGTGTGCTTTTCCAAATAATAGCTGCTTATTTTCGAGGCATTAATAGTAACCTTATTTAACACACCATACTGATCTGAAGAGAGACACGACGTCTGGACCAGCTGACCCTACCGCCTGAATGTACGTCCGCATGTGCGATGACATTTCATGTCTCTTGAAGGCAGATGTTAGGAAGGACGGGGGTTTTTCTGTTATTTAGTGTCCTGTATCATGGTGACAAGCTTCCTGACTGTTGAGGCTAAAGATTTTGGTTTATTGCTCTGGATTATTGCTCTTGAAATGTAGCTATTGAAATTCTGGGGAAATAAATCCGTTTTTGGTTCTGTCTTGCCAGTGATCCAATTTAGTGAGAGGGAGACAGGAGTCAGGGCATTCCCTGTTGTCCAGCTGCTTTAACAGTAAGGTGAACAACTGAGAATGCTGGGTAGTGGGGAGTGATTTAATTGCTTAAAAAGAAAAAAATTAAAGCATTGGTATCTTATACAGCTCAGTCTTTGTTTAAATACCCTTTTTCTACTTGAAAACTGGGGAGTGGGAAAAGTGTTTAACGCTAGTCCTGTGGTTGTGCACGGCTTGTTCATTCCTTCCTTCTTCCCTTCCCGCCTCGTAAGTTCTCTGAATATTTGCTCTTCCTTTTGCAGTGGTAGTCGCTCTTCTAAAACCTTCAAACCAAAGAAGAATATTCCAGAGGGGTCTCACCAGTACGAGCTGCTAAAACATGCCGAAGCCACGCTTGGGAGCGGTAATCTCCGAATGGCCGTTATGCTTCCAGAGGGTGAAGACTTAAATGAATGGGTTGCAGTTAACAGTAAGTTGCCTAACCTGTCTTTCGTGAGGGGGACGCTGAACGTGGACCGACAGTCGCTGAAGGACAACTGCGTACTTCTTTCTAGTGCGGTGGGCTCTTCTGTCCGGCGTGCACCACCCTGCGCTATGCTGCAGTTGGGAGAGGTGAACGTCCTATCTGGCAGCTGCAGAGGTGGCTCACTGAGACAAAAACTCCTTATGCTCCATGTGGTAAAAATATGTTTCTGGTAACAAAATAATTCTTCTTAGTGGTTAAAGTCTGAGCACTTGTTCACAAACAGATACTGAGGTAGAAATGCCAGTGCAGTTTTTAGAAAACAGCCTGTCAGTGCTGCCTTAATGTGTCCAATCTAGCTCTTCCTGCTAGAGTTGTTGCTCAGTGGAATAGCCAAGCCCCTACATTCGAGCTTAAAACCTTTCCTGTGCTGAGGGCCGAGTCTGAAACACAGTAAGACTACAGTCACATGTATGGCTTGGCTTTCTTCTTGCCTGTAACAAACCGGGAAGTTAATCTTTGAAGTATTCCTAAATTTAGTTCCTTGCTTTGTTTCTACCACGTTGTCAGCCTTTGCTCTGGTAAGTTTTTGACTTGATTATTTCAACTTCCTATAAGGCAGTTTCTCCCAGCCAGGGCAGGCTGAACAATGATGCCTAAATTAATGTTTTCTGATGGCTTTACCAAGTTTCCTTCTCCTTCCTCTCCCTGCTGCATGAATTTGCTGCCTTCCTTCTGGCCTAAAAGACTGGATTAGCCAAAGTCCTGTCATCCTGTGCAGGCCGTGCAGAATTTGGGCTGACACAAACCCTGGGCCCTGTCTGGTTATTTTCTGGTCTTTTGCGTAATTGACTTGGCGCGCTTCCTTGATTGTACCGTATTGATTGTACACTGCAGCGTACTCGAGATAAATGACTGTAATTTTTTGTTTTATGTGATTCTGTCTGTTTCTCTGCTTGCTCTTTGACATGTTTGGGAATTGAAACTGTCATATTGACCTCTACCTTCTGGTTCTTAATTAGCTACATAGTGCTCTGGTATATGAGTTGCCAACAACGTTCTTGGTTTAACAACAACAACAAAAAAATTCACATGAAAAGCCAGCCCATTTTTATGAGTAAGCTTTACTAAGGACGCTTCATATATTGCTTGCAAACTTGTGCTTTTGCTGGATCCCCCATTCCATGTCTTTGCTTTTCTGCATAGCAGTGGTGCTCTTCCCCTCCCAAATGATTTGACTGCTAAATTAGCTGGGTGGCAAAAGGCAGTGAAACGCTTGACAAAACAGTGGGCATTGCTTGTGGTAACAGCTGTGTTCTGTAATGAAATGGTCCTCTTCCATGCCTCATTGCAGCAAAGAGGGGTTTTGATTTTCTTTTCTTTTTTTTTTTTCCTAGAAGTGATTAACTGGCCTGATTAACTGCTTGCTTGACTTACAGCATCCCTCTACTACACGCAGAACTAACTGATGGTAGCCGTAAGCCTCTTCATTGGTGGAGATGTCTAATAAGTTAATAAGTATTACTTATTGTGGTGGTTTTTGCCCTTCCATGTACTGAGAGCACGGGCACAAATGTGCTGCTCTTTTCTAATTCTTGCTCAACCCATGGCTTTGCTGATGTTTTCTGGTAGTGGGTTGACTACGTGTGGATTTTTTAAAGTATGTGTTTTCAAACTAAAAAAATGTAGGAGATGTATAATCGGTTTCCTCTTAGTTTCATTTGAAATCTCCTTGATTGCAAAACTGTTAACAACAACTTGAGAAATAGAGTGCCCCTATTTCTTTATAATTGATAAAGGTGAAAGTGTCTGGAAAACAAAGACGTATTTGGGGGTAGAAATGGGATTCTTGCTTAAACACCAGCGTGTACTTCTCCAAGTAGAAAAGCGCTTAAAAAAAAAACTAAACTAAACTAAACCCTACAAACTTTAGAACCATGAGTAAAAAGAAGAAATGAAAATGCACGCAGGCACTGTACTGCATTACAGATTTTGGAAAGGAGGTGCCTGCGTTTTTCATATTTGTCCGACTCCGCTAGCTTGGGCAGATGGGTGGTATGCCTCATGCTCTTTAGAGGCTTGCAAGAGTGGGCTTCGCAATAATCAGTCATCTTGTCAAAGTCTGTGTGGGTTTTTTGAACGTACTTGCCTTGAGGCAAATATTGGGCTGTGGTTTCTTCTGGGAGTGGGGAATGGAAACTCAATTAACAGTTCTTCTGTACACTTAAGAAATAAGGGCAGTACATAAGCACTTCTTCCTGTGTTTACAATGGTAAATGCTCCGCTGCCCACCCAAATGAGCTTTAACGGTCCTCATCCTCTGTAGCTTTTTTGTCAACCGTTCCCTGTTTTGTTTTGCTATTTTCTGCTGTTGCTTTTCTGCTTGGGGAAAAAAGAAGTTTATTGCGGGAGATGAACTGCGCTAGATGTAGGCCCTACCAGTTTTTATTTGCTTCCCTTTTTTGATACCTGGAAAGTGTCATGACGCAGGTGTATCTTGTATCCTGCATCTGCTGAACAATAGTTTGCCGCCATCAGGTGCGTGTGGTCTTTGATGTTTATTCTCTTGAAAAATCAGTGAGGGGAGGTAAAGTGTTTATCCCTTTCTTTTCATCAGTTTGGTTCTTTTCACGGTACGTGGTATCTGTTCGTGCTGGAATTCAGGATGTCGACCTCCTTTTCATTAGAGCGCAGCTGTAATTTTCTGTAGGTTTAAGTAAAGAGCACCGAATTTGGGTTAGCTACCGAGTAATGCAAGATGGTTTTGACTGCTCTGTCTCAGCCACAGCACTGGCTTTCCTATAGCTTGGCACCAGATGGGGACGAGTGCGTTGCTGCTGTTAATTCCAGTGTCCTGCGGACTGATTGTATGAGAATATGCCATGTTGCAAGCTCAGACAAACGGTGCGCCAGTTCCTCACCACCAGGACTAGCCTCGCGGACGCGACTGCCAAATGAAGCTTCTAGCTGTAAAGGCTAGTCGAGAGGTGTTTTGCACAGGCCGTTGTCAGAGGTGGCAGGCCCAGTGCTCTTAAGAGTAAGAAGCTATGTAGTGTGAACTGGGCGTTAGGACATCCACCCCGTTTTTACATTATATATAGTCCCTTTCAGCCTGAGAGTATGTTGGTGTAGTAGTTAAATTTGTGAAGCACTTTGGGTAAATAGGAGGAGTTGGATTCCACAACACTTGATCTGGGTGTTCCTTCGATTGCTAAATTTCATCCATGCATAAAAATAAACAAACAGGGGCGCTAAAGCCAGTCCTACGAGCCTTAAGTTCTTGTCTGTTTTTATTACTTGGGTTCATGCAGAAGCAGAAGTTGCAGCAGCTGTTTATTCTAGCGTAAGGGAAATAAGAATCTTTAGTGCAACTGTTATTCTGGAGCCATTTACTTTGTGGTCAGAATTTAACCCTGCCTAGTTTAAATTTTACTTACTAGGTGCTTCATATTGGTCCCTTTTTAAATTTCACCTGTGACATGCATTGTTTGAAAGAAGTTTTGAAGTGGTAATACTGATATATTGATACCTTGGTAGTGCTCTGTGCTTCCCAGCAGTTGCAAGGAGGAGCATTCATTAAGGGGAGATAAAGCTGATCTTTATAAATTGTTTACAGTGGTCACAGTTCCTAAAAATAAAGCGTACCATTAGGTTATTGAAGAAGAGCCTTGCTTTTCAAAAGCTATTCTAAGCACTCAAACTCCCATTTGAAGTAGTAGGAACTGCGGGAATACTTAGATATATTAAGTGTTTTAATTTAGTATTGCAACTGTAGTTCTTTTCACGGTACGTGGTATCTGCTCATGCTGGAATTCAGGATGTCGACCTTTTCATTAGAGCACAGCTGTAATTTTCTATAGGTTTCAGTAAAGAGCACCGGAAAAAAAACTTCGGCTAAGAGAACTATTTTCCCAAGCATATAATAAAACCGAAGCAAAAAAAATCCGAAAGGCAACTCAAAGGATAGTTTTTAAATGAGGAAACGTCGTGGACTAACTGGTGATTTGTGGTAATGAATTGACAATCTGAGGAACAGAATTCACTCGACACTATGTCATGCCTTCTATACACCCTTCCCCCCTCCGTGTTTATAGTGTTTTAATGTAGCATAAGCATTTTTTGGAAAGATAGTTTTTTGGGCTATGAGGCCTGAGGGACATTGGGGTCGGCCAATAAGTAACAGTATTCTCTGCGTGGGAAGTTTACACTTGAAAAAACTTTGTTTCATTATAAACTTACCAGTAAAACCTGGGATTCTAATAAAATGCACCCAGCATTTGGAAGAGGAAAAAAGTTGGCTTTCTCTTTCCACTTTCCCTCTGAAATAAAGGTTTTGCTACAGTGAAAAGTGCAATAGCTCTTGCCAGAAAACGTTCAAGGAAGTTAGTTGCTGGTCATGTTCCATGTTTCCTATATAATATATCTTAAAAAGCAACAACAAAGAGGTTTTATCATTTAAAAGAAAAAAAAATCCAGACCTCTCTTTAGCGCTGTGTGTTTTGCAGTTGAAGCTGCAGAAAGCTTGCATTGCAGTTACCCTGCGGAGTGATAATTGATGTTTTAAATGCTTTACAGCTGTCGACTTCTTCAACCAGATCAATATGCTGTATGGAACCATTACAGACTTCTGCACAGAGGAGAGTTGCCCCGTGATGTCTGCTGGCCCAAAGTAAGATTATTGATTACACATCCTTGAGAACGTGTAACACTTGAGATTACCCTACATTTTGAAAACTGGAGACTAGCTCAGTTCTTTGAATGCTGAATATTAGGTAACTTCTGTGGGTGGAAAGGGTGCCTTTTCTTGTTCCCTAAGGAAGGAAAAAAGCTTGAAGCTTTGCAAGAAAGTGGAGAAGGGAAGGGTTCTCTCTTACTTGATTTAGCCTGGGAAATAGCGTGACTGTCAAAATTGTTCTCTTACTTGTGTTCAGATGTGTTACTGAGGGCTTCCTAAATACAAATTTGAAGCTTTTATCTGCGAGTGCGCAATTAGCGTGATCGAAAAC